CTCGCAACATGTTCTCAAGAATTTGAATAGTTCGCTTGGACTGACCATCCGTTTGTGGGTGAAAAACCATGCTGAGCTGACAACCTGCTTACCCAACTCCCACTGAATAGTTCTCCAAAAGTGAGATGTGATTTGAGTATCCCGGTTTAAAATGATAGAAATAGGCACGCCATGCAAATGAATTATCTCCTTGATGTAAATCTGAGCCAAACTTTTCAAAGTATAAGTAATCAACATCCATATGATATGTGCGGTCTTGGTCAACTTTTCCACAATGAGCCAAATAGCATCAAACTTCCTCAACGTACATGGTAAGCCTGCCGCAAAGTCCATAGTAATATGCTCTCACTTTCGTGCCGGTATAACCATCTTCTGAATCAAACCACCTAGTTTCCGATGTTCATTTTTAACTTGCTGGCAATTCAGACATTGTGAACATGCCCCAACAATATCCTTCTTCATCCTCCGCCGCCAATAGTGTTGCTTCAAATCACGATAAACAGGAATATCAACAATCGTATCATACCCATTAATAGTAACTACACAAGACCGATAAACCCGATCTCCCACGGTAGAATGGCATATAAACAGGAATATCCAAAGAATCAGAGTCATACCCAAATGTGATGCAATGTAAGATGACAGGTACGAATATGTAGAGCCCAGATCAAATGATACTAAATCATCTGTATGATAGACTGAAATAATACCTATGATGACCGCATCCGATGCCACCGCCTCGGGTTTACCGGGAAAAGCATAACCATGAGCCTGACCCCCACCTCACCGATTTGTCCTCCTCCTCTAGGACGACCTCTAACTAAATGGCCTCCACCTTTAACGAGCCGGGCAGGTGGTGTCACACCCCTTTTTACCAACCCTCTTTAAAAAAATTAAGTATTTTTAAGATCGGAAGGGGTTTTCAAGTTCAGAAGTGACAAAGTATTTTGTTAGAAAGGGATTTTTCGAAGTCGCCAATTGACATAATATTTTTGTGTGCCAAGTCGAACATTTTTAAAAATAATTTCTCTGAAGAATACATTTGAATTCAAAATAGGTCTGCACCAAAGACTCTAAGTAAGGGGTTCATTTGACTCGTGAAGAAGGTATTAGGCGTTCCACAAGTCCCGTGAAAGTCACGGGCATACATGATCTAGTTGGCTTTTAAAAATACCCAATTGAGGAAAAACACACAAAAGAGGTTTTAGGTTGTCCCAGAAAATAAGAGAAAAGAAAGAAAAAGGAAAAGAAAGTACTAAGCTATCCTACACTATGCTTCTTCCACGGTGTCCGTCATGGCCTCCAATTACATGATTCTACGGGGCATTCCCGAATAAAATATTTACAAGTTCGTCGGGGCACCCCGGGATAAAATGGTAAACAAAGGGACAATCTCCAACTTCAAAACAAATAGGAAGTCCCGAAGTTTGCCCACCCTAGTGTTGACGGCCTATGCATGCTCCGAGCGATTAGAATAGCGATAAGATAAGATAAAATAAGAGTAATAAAGCATTTAAAGTCTAATGTGTTTGCATATTTAATGTTGCCCCCACAACCCACTCAAATAATTTTTTTTTTGTTTTTTTAACAACCTGCTAACTCTACATGACACACTCCATCTAGGAACATTAAAACACATAAATATCAAGCTGCAGATAACAAAGAAAAACAATTCAGCATGAACAGCAATAGTCTCCCAGCGAGACTCGAAGAAACAGACCGTTAACGAAGCAGCTAAATAAAATGCCAGTAAGAATAGAAAAAATTAAAATAATTCAAAAGACAACATCTCAAAGTAACTCAAAAAGATAAAATAAATCAAAATTCTGGAAGATCTACCAAAGCCCATATTTCAAAACTTACATCCCCATACGTGTTTCAGAACATCGAATGGAAGGCTATAACCAATTGTTGACAAAGAAATATTAGTGAATTCCTAATTAATAAACCTAAGATTTAAGGAAATACACTTAGAAATATACTAGAAATGCTTCACCTAAGTGTGATTAGATTCAAATAATAACTTTAATTATAGGCAAATAATTCATTGTGTGCTAAGCGATATCAATTTGATTTGGACAGAATCATAAAGATAGGTAATTAAGAATAAAAGACACAAAAATATGACCTCCCAAAGAAACTATTTTAAGACTTTGAGTATCAAGACTCCCACATGGATCACTGGACTTGAATTCTCATGATAAACATATTAAAGTTCAGAGAAAAATTATAAGAAAACTTTGACATTGCTTTGAAGCTTTAGACATACGAAATTCCTTTAAAACAAATCAAAATCTCATCTCACGATGACTTCGATACAAATCAAACAAAACTACTGATACGAAACTTGGTTAAATGTTAGAATAGAAGTTGAGATCATACACCCCACTGTGTCCGAAAATCATTCCCATGGTTTTTATAAAACTCAAACAAAAGAGAAACTAAGAATAACATGCCAATACCAAGCTTAAAAAGCACATATCACATAAACAATAAGAGAAGAAAAGAGATGAACCTGAAATATCAATCTTCCTTAAATAGCAAAATGAAAAAAGTCGGCTACAAACTTTGAGCCCGAAATCCTTCGAAACTGTGGCTAATTCACTCCAGGAACTGGAATCCGAAATCACGATCTCGAACCAAATCTTAGCACCTCAAGGGAAATCCATTTTTGAAACCGAAATTAAAAAGAGAACTCAAGTATTTTTGTATATTTTTCTTTTCTGAAGCTCAATCACAATTGATTCAGCAAAAGCAACATATTTTTGTATGTTTTCCCTTTCTAAAATTTAAAATGAAAACTCAAAAGAATAGAAATCCTCAAAAGCCTCGTTCTTTTTTTTCTCTCTCCAAAACCGTGTCCAGCCCCAAAATCCGAAATGAATTCATTAAGTAGGAAATCTTGAAGCCTCTCTGCTTGTTTTTCAAGAAATGGCTTATATCCGTAAATCTATTCAAGTTTGGACGGATTTTTGACAAATGGAAGGCTAGGATCAAATCCCTTAATCCTATGGCTCCCATTCATCTCAAAATCATCCCAAAAGAGAACAAAACGCGTGATGTGTTTGAGGGATAATTCGGATGAAATCATGAGGAGAATATTCGAGTTTGTTAGGATTTTGGTGACGTGGAAGAAAGGGATAAGAGGAGAGGGAACCATTAAGGATCAAATGAGTGGACTCGACGAGAATCGGTGAGTTTTCCGGCGAGTCCATGGCGGCAGCAAGGGGTGGGTGAGTTGCGGTTGTGGGAAATCTTTAGGTTTAGGGTTTGGAGAGTATTAGGTTTATATATGAAGGTGTTTTAATTTATATAAAACACAAATTATTAATTATTAAAAATATTAGTAGGATTTTTATAAAAATAATAAAAGGCTTATCACTTTATACTTTTGATGAATTCAAAATTATAATTTAGTAAAAAAAATTATATTATTTAAATTTTCAGTAAAATACAAAATGAGAAAATTAATCAAATATTACAGTAGAAAAGAATGTACGACAAGAGGGGGATAAAGATAATTTTATAATAATAGATAAAAGATAAATAAATAAGATAAGTATAAGAAAATATATACTTATGTTCTATTAAAATAAAAGTAGTATCAAAATATTAAGCCAATTGACAAGTTAATAAAAATTCACATTAGTAAATGTTTTGTACCAAGTACTTGTTAATTTTAATAAAAAATAAACAAGGAATAAATAATTTATTTGATTACTATATGATGTGTATCCTTTGATTTTGTATTGATTTTATTATATTTCTGTACACTACATTAAATAATAAAATAATAGCTAATATTTATTAATATAATATGATATATTAGATTATAATTTTAAAATATAAATATTCTGTCAAATTATCCGCGCATCGCGCGGGTTCTAACACTAGTATAAATAAAAAGCCTCCTCAAGCAGCTCTTGAATGCGACGGGTCTCGCGGGGATGGTCCAGGGGCGTCTGTCATGCTCAAGCTCTGTAACATGCCCCGTAATGATGCACCAGTGTTGTGAATAAGGGTCCTGGCATGTGCCCCCGCCTCCTGAAGGCCGAACCTAAACATATACTGACCATGTTGCTCCACGTGTGACTAGATATGTTGAATATAGACGAGGATAGGAACGACCTTTGTAAGAACGACATGAGGTTCTAAATGACTTTGAGATCCCCAACATTTCCTATTGGATACATGCAAGACATGATGCCATTCTGAGTCAAAATAGGATTTTTCGCTTGGGAGAAAGAAAGATTTAACAACAAAGGCAAAATTTAGTTTCTCATGCTGCAAAGATGAAAAAAGGGAAGGTAACCACTGGCCAAAGTCCGGAAGGAAGAAGCAATTTAAATTCGATAATTGTTTTCCTATGCAAACAGGTCCCATACATTTACTTATCAGAACCCATGTATTAAGTAACTCTTGATGCCATAGCTCTCTAAGGAGTAAGTTAGAACTGATAAAGTAACAAGGAGTATGGTGCAAGCTACCACAATGTGATAGTGTTTGCATGCCTACTTGACGTAGTCTTACTTTTTACCAGCCTATAAAACCTCTTTGTTTTGATTTTTCAAACATGCAAAACTTTTCTTGAAACGCAATGGAACGTCTCAATGTCCACAATATCTATTACCTAAGAGATGGATTTTCAAAGTCACCCTACAAATTAAATGAGTTGATCCTATACACCAAATCCCCGATCATTCTTTGTGGGATGGAGGAAGAATTAAATAAGTTATTAATCTTAAATGTCGTACCATGGTTCTTATAGTCTTAAAAAAATATTGCATTTCTTTAATATTACACTTTCTTCTTCAAAAAATGAACTGTTTGTTAATAAAAATAAGACATGTATTAATCTTTTTGAATAGCACTGGTTTTTTATGTATTCTTTTCTCTTTGCTTTTTTTTATCTTCCTTCATTTATGTAGTAGTTTTTGTTCCCATTAATCAGCTTTAATTTAGATCTATACTAACTTGTTTCCATCCTGATTTTTGAATAGGAACACTAGAAAACTTATTGGAACGTGTTGAACAAGTTGAGGAGGAGCGAATTAGAAAGGTAATGCCTGCTGATTTACGATTGTGGTATTTTCTGCTTCTCTTAGTAGTGACTTATCAGATGAGATTCACCATTTTCAATTGTCTGTTCTTTAATTGTCCATTTAAATTTCCTCCTCCAGAGGAAGCCCATGCATATTTATTATCCCAGGGTATTGTTAGGAAACAGAAATTGAGCTTAGATTTGATAATACTCTAATGGAAAGTAGTATATCACAGTCTTGGGTCTGCATCTTGCAGTTCTAGAATTACTGTTGATGTGAACAGGATCCGAATTACTGTGGCTGTGAATTGGTTGCACTCCTACTGCTTTGTTCTTTTTATTCCTTTAGCTGGAATTATGATATTATTTCACGATTGTTTTTAGACCATATCTTTGTTCAATGGAATATGATGGCATTTCACCCTGCTGAAAAAAGATAATGTGCAGAGGTGAAGAAGAGGAAATCTAGTTTATTGTTCGTGATTTCTGACAATTAAAGAGATGTTATCTGCCAAATACCATCTTTTTGGAATTTGAGACATTTTGCTGTGTATATGCATGTGTCTGTGCTGGTTTTGTATTTCACAGTTCACAAATTATAGGATGTGAATAGCCTGAAGCAGGCCATAGTGAGAAGAAACAGTCAATCCTATGAATTAAAAGCTCTCTTTGAAAATGGTAACAATGTGGTAGTTATATGTTTGTCTCTCTTCCACCTCCAAAATAATTCTACTGTTGCATATCAGGAAGTCATTGCTTGTAGTAACGACTTGTCACGATCTATTGGTTCATGCGGAATCCATGTCCTAGGTGTATAAGTAAACATTCTTTTCGCAAAGCGTAGATAATAAAATAGAGTGAAAATGTCCACTCCGAAACCAGTTGCGCAGAAACATGTACGGGTTCAGCAAAAGGATCCCCTGAATATTGTGTAGCTGTTGTTGAACCGGGTCAAATCTCTTCCAACAATTTCAATGGCTAATGGGTCTCAAACCATAACAACTGGAATAGGTCAAGCTAGTCCACTTTCTTGCTTTTTTTTTTTTACTTTACAACCACTTAATGAGTCTGAATAGGTATGATTAAGATCCATAACAGAGACTTAATTTCATTAAGATGCTATCATCCACATTCATTACTCCCACCACCTACTATTATCTAACTACTACCATCACCACCACCACCACCAACCTTAACCTTACCCGCCGCCACAACCACCACCTATCACCATCATCCTCAACCACAACCACACACTCACCCACCTCAACTACCACAACCAATCACCCCGTCATCATCAACAACCATAGATGGTACCACCCATCATTATAAACTACCACCGCCCACCATCACCTTCCTTAATCACAACCACAACCATCACCAACACCCACCATTATTAACATTCACCATGCACCACCACTATCCTCAACCATAATCGCTATTGCTATCAATCACCACTAGCTACTACCCGGAACCACCACCATCAACCAAACCCACCACCATCAACCAAACCCACCACCAACCACGTCTTCAGGCATCACAAGCACTTCTGTTAGCCATCACTACCACCAACTACCAAATATATATATATATATATATATATATATATATATATATATATATATATATATATATATATATATATTATTGATAGAATATTAGCTTAATTAGTATTTTATTTGAATTTTATGCTTATTAATTTTTAAATAAAGATAATTTTATATATTCTGATGCTAAAAAAACGAACAGTCCTAATCATTTAGTATTTAAATCTTAATACATATAATAATATTCAGATGCGTATTCAGATTCAGATGGCTTAATCTTAATATACATTTTGATATTCAGATATGTATTCCGATTTAGACATCTTAATTTTAAAAAAAAAATGAGGCCTTAATCTCATATCAATTAGTCACTTGGCCAAAATATTTAACTGTTCTATTTTTTATTTTATGTATGATTGTCTTAATACAAGATCAAGTATGGGATGGATCATTAGTATTGGACGTGAACTACACGGATTTTATTGCCTTACTCTTCCTAAATCACTTACATCTTGTCCTCCCTCAACAACTTATCCTATTACCGATTTGCTCGATTTATTACATAAACTGTTGGAACATTTCAGTTTATCAAAACTTCAGAAAATAGTACTTGGTTAGTCTCACTTGTCCACCCTAGAGTGTGAGTCATGTCAACTCAGTAAGCATACTCGCCCCCATTTCCCTCAATGTCCTGATAATCGGGCAGTCATCTTTCACTTTAGTTCATTAACATATTTGGGTTCTGGTTAGGTCAATTCTACCTTGGGATTTTGTTACTTTGTTAGTTCTATTGAGGATTATTTTATGTTGTTCGGACTCTCCGGAAATACCGATGGGTGTGTGTCAGATTCTCCAAATGTATTATATTTTTGGAGGATCTGATACGAGTGTGACAGCATTTTGGAGAGTCCACGTAACATAGTGATTATTCGAAGTGCACTTGGATATTCTTGATGAAAAATCGATTTGAGTTTCTATTTTTCAGACCTTTCATGTTGAAATCCAAAATCAATTTGGAGTTTCTATCCGCACATTTCGTAGTGATAATGCCTCATAATAATTGTCTTTTCCATTTCAACAGTTTATGAACTCTCATGGGATCATCATCACCCTCTTGTCCTTACACATCCCAACAAAATAGGGTATAGTCAAACCTCTTTATAATAGCATCGTTTGCTTCGGCACTTTTTTGACTTTTGTAAAATGGGTGTCATACACCTATAATAGCATTTGGAGCCTAAATATATTTTGGGTATTATAGACAAAAATTATCCAAGAATTAATTTTTTCCTTTTTTAATGTTGCATATAAAATATAAAAAAAAAAATTCAAGTTTAAAATCTCAAAAGATATAAATATACAACTAATTAAATGTTAAAGAAATCTAATAAATTATTAATAAATCCATAACTAAATGTACAAAAATTTGTACTCTAAGGCACATATTTTAAAGCTACTAGAAAATTACTCCATCCGTTCCAATTTATATGGACCTGTTTAACTGAGCATGAAGCTTAAGAAAAAACGATGACTTTTGGAATTTTTGGTCCTAAACAAGTCAAAAAGGGGCCCAAAGTATTTGTGTAGTTATAAAAGCTTCTCATTAAGGGTAGAATTGTAAGTTTAAGCTAAATTGTTACCAAATATAGAAAGGGGTCATTCTTTTTGGAATAGACCAAAAAGAAAATAGGTTCACATAAACTAGAACAGATGGAGTAAATTCTTTTAAGATTGATAGAAGAACTCTGTAATTACTAGTTTGTTTCGTAGATTTCAGTATCTTAGTAGTGGTATAACTCTTGAATTGGTGAAGATTTGCATCCAAACATTCAACAAAAGGGTATCCAATTGCTTTTCCTTGAAGGCAATTTGATAGCTTAATAGTTGAATCTTCTATCTCAGTCCAAGTAGTAGTATTTTCAGGTTCTTCGTCAGCACTTTCATCTGTCTCCATAGTATCTTTTTCTTCCACTCCAATAATTTGTGCAATAATTTATTCATCAGTGAAAGCTTCAATAATAGGAAGTGTTACATCAAACTGCGCAGATGTGGTAGCATCCATCGTAATGAAATTTGGACTATAAGTGATGATACATTCCCAACATACTTAACCAGTCCTATGTTTTCACTATTAGCATTGGGATTATCATCTATAGGTACGATTCCAGTTTTTTTCCAACAATTGAGAATGGTGGAGCCTTCACATCATTCCATGCTTCTACCAGAGTGTTAATAGCTTGCCGCATATTGAACTTATTGTCACTACATAATGGATGGCTCCCATTGCGCTCATATTCATCAATCAAATGCTTGACGAAGTGGCTTTTGTACTTATCTTTAAAATTTGCAATAATACCAGCATCTGTAGGCTGAATATGTGATATCATATTAGGTAGGAGATGATGAACCTGAATAATTAAATGTATTAGCACATGATCAAGGCTACAAAAAGTACCTTAACATATGTTAGTTGACTTTCGTATTCCTCGATCTCATGAGGAGTAACATTGTCCATCAACAGTAGAATCTTGCAATTTTCATCTTCAAATTTAGCATTTAGACGAAGCATGTCTTGTTTGAAAATTTCACGAGTCATCCATTCTTTCTTGTTGTAAAAATAGTTGATGTATGGCAGAGAGGCCATGTCTACATTCTTATAACAACGAGGTTTAGCAATAGTTCCAATCACTATAGGTTTTAGCTTTCTCTATTCCTGCAATGAAGTACGAATTAGAAAATAATTTAATAAAAGTTTGGATTTAGTATGTTACTTCCTCAACAATAAAATTTAGATTTAGTTGTGAGTTTCAATTTAGAAGTTTTTAAATATAAATAAATCAACTAAACGAAGCATTTAAATTTTAAGAAATTTCAATATACTAAATCTATTTCTAAAGAGATATCTTACCCGGAACGTTGCACATTAACATTACGATGATTCTTGATTTGTCTTCCTTACGTCTGCTCTCTAGCATTTGAGCAAGAGTCTTGTCGGAAGCCATACATAGGAAAAGGCCAGTCTCATTACACTTGAAGACATCTCTATGTGCATAATCTTTTATTACTTCTTAAAGTTTAGTTCGGAAAGAAGGAAGGTCTTGGATGGGCGCGCTTTCAGCGTCACCATGAAAACAATAAAATTTGATGCCATGTCGTCGTTTGAATTGTAAAAGCCCCACTAGAGGTAGAGAATTTTTTTCTCTAGCGTTACAGATGCTGCAAAATCAAGAGCATTGGTGACGATGATTGCATCTGTCAAGATGACATGGTTTGCCCTTACTTGAGTAAACCAAATATGTACTGCTTTGTCGATTTGGTTAATCTTGATTAATTAGTTTTGGATGAACAAAAGTTTAAATAATTTTTTTCTATACGTACCTCTGCATGCTCACATTCGCGCAATCTCGCCGCCTCTATATACTTGTTCTTCTTCCTAAGAATGTCAGTGATTGTTTTACGACTAGTAAGTGCAAA